GACGTCCTTCGCGAGGATTTTCTTTCCTTTGCGAGTGTACACTTATATACAGATATATCCGTATACTTGTGTGTGTGTGTGTGTGTGTGTGTGTATTATCTATGATACATATAACCGAGAGTGATTCCGGTCGTTATATGCTCGCGAGCACCGGACTCGTAGAAATAGAATTCATAGCACGCACGGTATAGCGCTGCTTCTTTATCTTGCTGCGTGGCGCTGCTGCTCCTTGTGACAACTGCTTTCCCGGCTAATATCTCGTGCGCGCAATCGGATTATGCGATACCGAGCTTTTATTCTCGCTCCGATACTCCGCGGGATTACGACGTTTTCGAATCAGTACCCGGTGATCGGCAGCATTATCATAAGCAACGAGCGATCGCGTGTATTGTGTTGCAAATATGTGTGACAAAAAATTTAAAGCTTTCAGTGGCTATTTAGCGAGAGATGTTTGAAAGTATACAGCGCATTTTAAAGAGAATCTGCATGTAAGTTTACGTGATTGTTTTTTAGCATACTTTTATGATTAATCTGGGTGAAGCACTTTATAACTTATCCATCAAATGCTCGTGTCATGTTTTGTTTTCTCTTAACCATGTCACTTTGAATAAAAAAAGTCTGATTATGTCAGAGGTAAGCAGAAGTACTTTGTTATAGAAAATCTTGAGCTGACACACTGGCTTGGTTCTTGAGCTATCAACGTGAATGAAACATCGTTGCACCCGAGCAAGCTCCCGCATATTTTATGAAAACTTAATAATCAAGTCAACGAAATTTTCAAGACGTAAGCGCTTGCGCGCTCGACTGCGTCGCGCGCACAAACGACGCAGCCACCGTACGTCTAGTGAATTAAAAAGGAAAAAAAAACACACACAGAATCTATAGTCATCACACAGAGAATGTGAAAATTGCCGTTCTTCATCCATACATAGGCAGCTGATAATCGAATATATAGCCAGGCGAGCGCGAAGAAACAATAGACTTGGGCATTTCCTCGTCATTTTTACGGATAAAGCTGCTGACGCTGATGCGCGCGCGCACCCATAGCACGCAGCAGCATCGGTGCTTACGAAGCTTTTCTTTCAGCCGGCTTGTCATTTTATTAAAAAATTCTTTCGCGCGCTACGGACTATATATGGGTAGCGGCAGTAGCAGTAGCAGCAACAGCAGCAGCTTTTACAGTCCGAAAGAGCGAATGAATTTAATGAAAATCTTTTTTGCGCACGCGCTCTTTGGCTGCGCAGGCTCGATTGATTCAAACTGAATAATGCGTATTACAGTAGCTCTCTTTCTCTCGCGCTCGTCGGCGGCCCTTCAGGCTAAAAGCCATTTTTATCTCGAGTCCGAATAATGTAAATTGCCGGGCAATTAGCCGGGGCTGGAGTGTCGAGTTGTATTGCAAAGCGCGCGCTTGGCGAGTGAGTGGCGCTCGATTGTCGAATATAATCGAATATCAAAGCAGCAGGAGCGGCGGCACTATAGCAGCAAAAGAGAGAGAGAGACGGACAAAGAAGATCATCCCTTAGCAGTGACGCGCGCTCGCGCAAGTAATCAAGCGCCAACTTTCTGGCTTGTTAAACGAATTAGACTCGAAATGTGCTCGCGCGCGCGCGGCCGCCAACCAAAGTTTCGCGGAATTTCGACCCGAGAGTTCTCTCTCGTAACCAACTGCTAAAGCAGAGCAGGGCACGGTAGAACCCGTCGAAGCACATCTTGCCGCGCCAATGTCATTGTCGGACATATACTAAGCTGCCGTGGGATGCGTCAACCCGAGCAACATAGAAAGCAATCGATCCAACGACGAGCGCGTAAAATCATCCGCGTAAATTAAACTCTGTGAACGTTTAATCGAGAGAACAAAGAACCGTTGAATTAGCAGGGCTCTGCGTAAGAGAGGGAGGAGGTGGAGAGGACGGCACGCATAAACGAGAGCATTAAAAGCCCCCCGAATCGATCAGCGCGGAGCGTCGAAGCGCGGACTTTTATTTTCTCTGTTTCTCTCTTTCTCTCGCACCCGCTCGCGCGATACTCAATTCGATCGATTTCTCTTCCGAGTGCCCTCCACGGGTGAAAGCATTAGCATGTTCAGTCGCGCGCTCCAATGAAAATCACGATCCTCGATTCCGTACCGAATGAATGAATACTCATATATAAACTCTCTCTCTTTTCCTCTTTCTGTCCCTCTTATTACCATTACACTCTTTACACCGAACAAAATTGCAGCGTGTATCAATAAACCTTGCGAAATGAACTCAGCACAAGTCGAGCGTATTTATGTCCAACAGTCATCTTTTGTTCTGTAATTAGTCGAGAAATTACATACGTGCGTTGATAAGAACCACAGAAAATAATCGAAGCTGCCGAAGTTTTACTATAATTCGCGTTCAAATCGATACAAACATCAACAATACTACACTTATTAAAAGATTTTTATTTCTTATATAAAAACAATACAAATTTTTTTATGTTGGGAATCGACTATGACATCTAGCGGTGAAATCAAAACCTTGTCGTTAATTACTATCACGCTCACTCGCACATACATTTTACTTAGTTTTCACGAGTTAGCTTTTTTCTATACCCAACGCCCTGAACAAGTTTCACTTCAAAAATATACGGAGGAACAGAAAAACGGACAGCCATTTACTGGACGGCTGATGTGAAAGCAGTATCCTGCCGGTTAACAAGTTACTTCTCTTTATTTTTTTCGCATGTATTATGCACATTTTGTTTATATACAAAAGCATCCCTGACATACGTACCAAGACCCCAGCTGCTCGTGATGTAAGACGCTTTACATATTGCAGTTCACAATTATCACACCTACACTTGAGCGCGGTACAAACCTTAACAAAAACTGCAAAATTTTTTGGTTACGTTATGCAAGACGACGGTTACAAAAAAAACTTGTGAGTAATAGATATAGGAATGTCTGATTATAAAAAAAGTCGAAAAAAGTGAATACGTTGCTAGTACATACTCCGGTGAGTGACGATCGCGAGTACACGTCATAAGCGATGAATCTCCTTGAAGACGAGTCGGATACACGTGATAAGCGTCACAGCTCGGGAGAGAGAAACCGAGGATGAAAAAAAATGAGTACGTAAAAGTACCTTAACGTCTCAAAGAACTTTGTTGTGACGCGCAAGCTTGTAACCGATTTGACAAAGCTGCGCCGTGCGTGCGTACACTCAGACTGCGTACATTTTCTTCTGAAAGGGAAAAAAAGCTCGACTTAGCCTTTGAAGCGTTGCATTGACGCTTAATTATGCGCACGTCCATCCACCCACCCCCCAAGCGTCTTTTTCTCCTCTGGCAGAGCGACTTTAGAAGCTGCAACGCCAGCACAACAGCCAACTACAAAGAAAAGTACGCGGACTATAACGCGAGTCAAGCGGAATAGCTCTTGTTTCGCGTTCGCGCGAGCTTTCCTTTTTTTTCATTGAACGCGCAGCTGCTGAGCGCTGAAAGATGACGCGGCTGAACGCCCGGCGTGTCGTTGCAATACGTTTTCTTCGTCGAAACCCCTTTTTGCGACGAGCGAAACATCGTGTAATTTTGCACCGAACGATTAAACTGCCGCGAGGAGGGGGGAATGAGAAATTCAAATCGCCCGTGCACAGTCGAGTTTCAGAGTTACACAGCACCGATTGATGATGATGACGATGACGATAATATGAGACTACATTATTGCGAGTGTAAATCGCTTTTTCGATAGTGCAGTACGGTGGTAAAGTGGACATAGAGTTTGCGAGTGATTAGTTACATGCTCGTTACGAAGTCGTAGGAAAAGGGTGTATTTAGAGGATATACTTTGTGTATTAAACTTTTTTGAGTTTACAAATACTGTATGGCGCAAAACAGGATCGAGGTAGTATTATACACAGCCTTCGTTAGCAGCCTCGCGTCTGCCGAACAAAACACAAAAAGAGCTGCCGAGGGAGAGAGAGAGTGATATATCATCCGGAAGCTTTTAGTAACAGACGCAGGTGGGGAGTAAAAAAAAGAGAAGAAAGAGGAAAAAAAGATTTACGTCAGCTTAAAACTTAGTAACTGCAGTCTGAAGCTCGGAACGCATATTCCCTTTCTCTCTCCAGCTTTTTGGCCGCCTCTTGTACAGACGAACTTGATACGCTACCTAGGCCATGATCCTCAAAATTGATTAACTTGCTCAGTAGCAGCAACAGCAGAAGCAGTAGCTGGACGTCGGGCAATTACTAGCAGAATCGGTGCACGCGGTCCAGCTTAAAGTAGGTGCGTACACCCCCACGAGCAACGGTCCTATGGCATGGCCTCTATAGTAGTAGCTTGCTCGGTACAGTGTACGTATCCATCTAACGCGCCCCACGCCGTAATTTAATGACGCGTTGTTAATTTTACAAACTACTCGGGGCACCTTGAGGCAGCTTTTCTCTCTCACGCACGCGCTCGCTCCCATGCATTCAATGTGCCATCGCGCGACGGTACGAGCTTCATACTTAGGTAAGGAGTTCTCTAGCAGAAAGTGAATAAGTACGGCGCGGGCCGGGAACACAATTACGTATACAATTAAGATAAGATGTAAATTTCCCGCGTTGGCCACGTACAAAAAAAGGGCAAGAGCTCCGCTGTAGGTAGGTAGGTAGCAGTAGTAGTAGTAGTAAGGAGAGAGAAAGGCCAGCGCACGCCCGCAAGGAACATTACCTTATCTCATGTGGCTTACCAACTATCTCGCTCTCTCTTTCGCGTGCTCTCCCGCGGAGATTGTACAATTAGTATGGCGCTCTAGTAATTGCGACAATGAAAAAAAAATCCTACACACTACGCGCGCTTTCTCTTTCATGCTCACCTGAGCAAATTCAAACAAATGTAATATACACGCGTACACACACGTGTAAAAATTACGAAACGTGTATTACAGGAAAATTATGGCGTAGTTTTTTTCATTTACAAATATCTATATACGATACTTTATAACATAAAATGACTTAATTAATGTTTAACGACGTGGTGCTTGACAGAAAATGGGATCGGTGCACGGCGAGGAGCTGCCTTTCGTCTTTGGCGCACCATTAGTCGACGGATTTGGCCATTTCCCGAGAAATTACACCAAGGCGGAGATGGCCCTGTCGGAGAGCATAATCCAGTACTTTGCCAACTTCGTGAGGACAGGGTAAGTCGAACGGTTCGCTTATATATAACACGTATATAATATATACTGGTATTACATCGCTGCCTGCGAATTCTGTACATTTATCATTCATCATAGGGTGCACGTATGCATTTATACGTGCCCTAGGAAAATCTGATGCGCGCGAGAGTTGAAAAATTGATTGCATCGATTTTGCGCTACGTTTGCTGGTTACTCGTCGGTGAGGATTTTACCTGTCACGTGGCAGCTGCTTTACAACCATTACTACCTTCTTATTCTCTTGCTTTTTCTTTAGCGTCGATACTGGTCCGAGCCTCGAACATTAAACTTTAGTCGCCCTCAGCAATTGGTAATTTATATCTCTTTAGCAAAGCTTTAGAAGGAAAGGGTAAGCTATCTGTAAGGTAGAGAAAGCACTCAAACGCAGCAGCAGGTTTTTTTCCGAGGCCCAGGCAATCGTTGATCAAAAAAGAAATCTGGACTAAAACGCGCGAGTGTATACCAGCCAGCACAGGCCGAAGCTGCCTGTCCGAAAATCCGTGCGCTCCCTAAAAAGGATTGCAGCAGTGTACAAAGATATAGCGCGAGCGCGGGACTGTAGGGTTTCCGTTTTTCTCGCCTTTCCTGGTCGGTCCTACTATTTTTTTTTCTTTCACTTTTCTTTCTTTTCTTCTGCTCTCTCGCGCCCACACGCGGGCAAGCTTCAACGGACAGTCTTTCACGCGCAATATATTCCGGCCAGACGTGTGTGTGCCGGGGTATATAAACCAGTCGTGGAGCGCTCTACACCGATGAGGCGAAGAGCGTCACGAAAAAAAAGGATTGTGTGAGAGAGAGAAAAGCTCTCTGTGTGGTGGAGCACCTTTATCGTATTTCACAGCGGCAAATACGCGGGCACTCGCCTGTGCTTAGGTGTATACGGTGTGCGTGAACTCGAAAAGAAAAAGTGTGCAGTGTTGGTTAAAGCGTATATTGTCCACTCTCTATATCTCTCCCTCTCTCTCTTTCTTTCTCGGCCTAGAGTAAAAGCACACGGCGCAATGTAAGGCACACGGCGAACACGTTTGAATCCTCATATATTCTGCCGTGAGAGCAAGAGTCTCTTTCTCTTTTCCTCTCTTCCTCTCTCCTCTCTCCTCTCCTGCTGCAGCTTCGCGGCGACGTCGAGCGTATAACGCTATATTGTCTGGTCATTGGAAAATCTGTTCAATGCTTCGTTTTTATATGATACACATACGTATATATTATTATACGTTATATAAAAGGACGAACAAGGCGAGCTTACGAGAGGCCGGAGGCTCACCGTATATAGGAGCTATTGTAAACTCCAAGGTATATGGATATGGGTCGTATTATTCGAGTACAGAGATATATTCTATGTATGTGTACGACCGTTAAGAGCAGCGCGAGCTCGCAAAATATATATATCTGTATGACTGCGGCTCTACTTTTTATTTTCACTCGAGGATATAAGCTTCGACCGTATGTACGTTATTTTTTGGAAAAAAAAAATAGAAGAAAAGAAAACAAGTGCCACGCGAGCGCGGAAAACAAAGCGATGATACTGCACCAAGGGTTTTCCATACAATTAAATTTCAATCGTAAACGAATGAAATTCATGCGCGTAGTTGACCTTGCGCTACGGACGAAAAGCAGAGTATCGAGAACAGGGAGAAAAACGATGAATTTCACATCTTTGCGATTTTTTATCTCGAAAATGAACATCTTTAATAAAAAATGCGAGGAACAAAAAAGTATCAGAATGGTAAAAAGAGTACACGAGAATTTTTTCAGAATTTCTGGAGAATTTTTCATAATTTTGAAAATTATGCCCGCGAAGGTCGTGTCCCGATTTACGCCGATGCTCGGGCAAGCGGGCCAAGTAATTAGGAAAACGACCCGAACATCCGCTAGAATATTTGTTTATAATCCCCGCAAAAACGACCGGATGCGAAAATGCGCAGACCGCAAGCTCGGGAGGACACATAAGTCAACGATGATCTCCGCCCGAACAAAGGGGATGCCGAGAAACAGCCAGTATATATACCGAGACGTGAGGGAGTCTCGAGCTTCAGTCGCGGCGCATTCACTCAGGGCTTTTTCATTCACGGCTCTTTCCCTGTACGGTTCAGTCACGGCGCTTCCACCTAAAGCTCGTGCGCTCAAGCTCGATCATCCGAGGCTTGTTCATCTCGCGACTTATCCTCAGCCAGTCTGTTGCTCGGCTCCGACCAGATAGAATCAGTGTGATAGTCAGATATTCGAAAAGTGCGCGAGATCGCTCATCTACAACCACCGACGTCGCCCAGCACGCAGACGCCGGGCCGCCCTGTCGACGCCGCATCACCCTCCCCGACCAGCCGAGATCGCACCGCCTTCAAACTCATCCGCCGCTCAGTGAACGACGCCGCCGAAGATACCCAATAACTTGTAAGCCCACACCACTGTATATTAGATATAAGTTTATCCAATAAATCCGTCTCTTGTGAAATTCAGTGTTATCCTTCTTTTCACCTACCTCACCCCAGAGACACCGCGAAGTAGAATCAAGCCCTTCAGGCAGACGACATATGGTATTATTATTGATATTTATTGTTATTGTTATTTGAGTAATCGATGGGCTAAAAACCCGTCATTACACCATCATAAACGAAAAAAAAGCCTAAAGCAAAATTTGGCATGTATTATGGGAAAACGTAAGGATGAATATTCCAGAAATCATTTTATATATTATACTTTAGCTTATCGTAATTAAAGGTATCATTTTTCTTTCTCATTTATCCTTCTGATTTAATAATAAGTTTTTTAATTACACCAATAGATGGATTATTATAAACTCGCAAGTGTCAAACAAATTTTCAAAAATTTAAGCTAAACTTAGCGAACAATCGATATTAGTAGTAATCAATTAATTCTTTTTGGCATATAAACATAATATTTTTGCATGGGACGCATCGAAGTCGATTTTCTTCCTTTCGCCATCATGAAGCAACTCGATGAAACTTGTGTATAATGCCGGATATACCGCGAAGTAGCGTATTCGCGGCATCCGTACCTAACTTTTCAACAGCGAGCTCAGAAAGAAAGAGAACTACCGCGTCCGCGCAAAGCAGACCAGAGGTAAAGAAAACTGGCGGGAGTACAGCATTATTATATATAGGTAACGAGACGTGGTGGTGGAGCGCAGGGAGGGAGGGGGGTGAGCTCTAGCCGCCGCGACGACAACGATGCTGTAAGAGTATAGAAGTCGAGGGCAAAGAGTGATAGAAGTGGGTAAAGAGAGAAAGAAAAAAAAAGGTATTTCTTCGGCGCCGATCTTGCCTCCGCTCTTCAAATACTTACTTTCTCCGACTTCGTTTTATCTTTTTCACTACAAAAAAGGGGGAAGAACAAAAAAGAAGAAAAGAATAAACGTAAAAAACAGCGAGGTAAAAGATCAATACCAAAACTCTATATACATGAAGTATTCCTCGCGTAAATTCCTCAGGCGCGAGCGGCGTATACGCGATTGCACGTATACAAGTTTTTCAAAGTCGTCTCGTTGCCGCCGCCACCGTGTTGATCAAAAGTGATTGACGAGTGCGTTATTATTATTCATCGGTCTATGGATGCTGCACCGACACGAGCTTGTGTCAAAATAACGAGGTTTACGTTGGCGCGTCACTCGTGCTTCTCTATGCAACTCCGTTTTCTAAAACAGAGAATGTACGCGATGCAAAACTAGCGCGAAATGAAAATCGACTGGGAGTATTTTTTCTTTCCTTTTTTCTCTCTTTACAGAGAAATCGTGTATGAGCTTGGTATCCAGAGTTATATACTGAAATCAATTTGGAATCGAGCGTAGCATTGGCTTTTATGGTCTGGAAACTATACCGGCCTAATTGAAGACGTACTCGCTACGTTAATTAACGCGAGCGCGCATAGCTCGATGGGTACAGGTCGATTATGAATTCTGGCGTGTCATCGTCGTCGTCGTCGTCGTCGTCGTCATCTACCTCGAGACGTCATCTCCAGTCGCAAATCAACAAATCGCATTGATCAAAACTTGGAGGCGAGGCGTGCGCACGTGCATATATGAGCAATTCTAAACAAAATCTGCCATTTTCGAGGTCCAAAAAGCCAAGATTTTTTAATGGATGCTACACGCCCCCTGCGGTATGGAAAATATCTATTGGGGTATTAGAAACAAGAAAAAAATCGCGAACATGATTTTTTTTCATAGGTAATTTTTCTATGTACATTTTAAGGTCGGATAATACGATTTTCGTAAAAATGGCTTGACGAAAGCAGACACCTCTGCAAATCTTCGAGACAAAGCTTAATGTAAAAATTAAAAACTCTGTACCCGACGTATTTTGTGGCGAGGAATCCAATGGTAACCTTGGATTTGATCTTGAACGTAACCTTCAAGCTCCAGCGACCCAAAAATGAATTTTCTAATGGAAAACCCGATTTTTTAATGCAGATTCGAAAAGAGCGGAAAAGTTTACGTTGAAAATACCTTTGGTTTTTTTTAAAGGTCATTTAAAGGTTACATAAAAAGAATGGTAAAAAAACTGAAAAGGGAATGTGTAAACCCTTGGAAATCATGCAGAATAAGGGTAAAAATAATGAAAATACCACGTCTGACGTATTCTTTTGACCGGGAATTCAATGGTGATCTTGGATTTAAACATTACTCCAAAGCTGCAGCGAACCAAAAATCGATTTTTAAAATAGTAAACTCTATTTTTTTATTCAAATTTGGGTAAAGCGAAGAATTTCACGTCAAAAGATCCTAAATTAAATTAAATTTAAGAACATAAAAAAATCGAAGGTTAATTGCTTTATTTTCTTGGTTATAGTTATACGATTGAACTTCAGATTTGTATGCATCTAGCCCCTCTAACAAGCAGATAAAAGTGCGAGAGAGACAAACAACAACGTCTCGTAAAACATAAACATGCGACGTTTCTCGCGCTTCTTCGTATGTGTTGATACCATAGAGATTTGCTTGTTTCTAGGATCCTCTAATAAACACG